TTCTTCTTCTTCTTCTTCTTCTTCTTCTTCTTCGAGCTATGTCCTTTGAAGACTCCCTAAGATCCCTTTCTCTTGATTACCTTAACCTTCTCATCAATGGCCAAGCCTTCAGCGACGTCACCTTTAGTGTCGAGGGCCGTCTCGTCCATGCCCACCGCTGCATCCTAGCTGCTCGCAGCCTCTTCTTTCGCAAGTTCTTTTGTGGCTCTGATTCTTCTTCTGGGGCTGTTTTTGATTCTCGCTCCGCCTCTCCTATTGTCGGATCCAACTCACGGGGCGGTGGCGGTAGTGGTCCTCCGCCGCAGGGAGTGATCCCGGTGAATAGCGTGGGATATGAGGTGTTTCTACTACTCCTACAGTTTTTGTACAGCGGTCAAGTTTCGATTTTGCCGCAGAAGCATGAGCCACGGCCGAATTGCGGCGAGAGAGGGTGTTGGCATACGCATTGCTCCTCCGCCGTTGATCTTGCTCTTGATACTCTCTCCGCCGCTAGATCTTTTGGGGTTGAACAGCTCGCATTACTCACTCAGGTTTTCCATTTGTTTACACTTTTTTTTCTCTCTCTTTAAGATGTTGAGGAATGTTTAGTGTCTCTTGGATCTGGTGGGTTTGTTGAGTTCTTGGGATTTGGACTGATTAAGCTGTTGGGATTTAGATTGTTTTCGTAATTATTCCACAAATTCACTCACAATTATCTTCTTCCAAACAATCTTGCATGAACACGTCTGTTAGGAAGGAAGACGTTTCCACACCATTATAAAAGATGTTTTGTTCTCCTCTCCAATCGAGATAGGATCTCACAATCCACCTCCCTTCAGGGCTAGCGTCTTCACTGATACTTGTTCCTTTCTCTAATCGACGTGGAACCCCATCAAATACACCCCTTTCGAGGTTTAACCTTCTCGCTGGCACATAGCTCGGTGTCTGGCTCTGATATTGTTTGTAACGTTGTTCTCTTTGAAGTTTAGGGGTTTTCCTCAAGGTTTTTAAAACGCGTCTCTAGAGAGAGGTTTTCAAACCCTTACGAAGGGTGTTTCGTTCTCCTCCCCAACGGATTTGGGATCTCACAATCCACCTCCTTTTGGGGCCAGTGTTCTCACTCGCACTTGTTCTTTTCTCCAATCGATGTGTAACCCCCACCAAATGCACCCCTTTTGAGGTTTAGCCTTCTCGCATATAACTCGGTGTCTGGCTCTGATACCATTTGTAACATTGTTCTCTTTGAGCTTTCGAGTTTCTCTTTGAGGTTTTTAAAACGCGTCTCTAGAGAGAGGCTTTCAAGTCCTTACAAAGGGTGTTTCGTTCTCCTCCCCAACCAATGTGGGATCTCATAATCCACCTCCCTTCAGGGCCAGTGTCACACTTGCACTCGTTCTTTTTCCCAATTGATGTTCGGGGCTCAGCTTCTTCGCTGGTACATTGCCCGGTGCTTGGCTCTAATACTATTTGTAACTTTGTTCTTTTTGAACTTTCTCTTTCAGGTTTCTCCTCAAGTTTTTAAAACGCGCTTGCTAGGAAAAGGCTAATTAAGATTCACTTGATTTAATAAATAAAAAAATTCTAATTTATTGAATGAAAGAACTTTTGGGTTTAGTAGGTTTGAAAATGGGGAATTAAGGTTTAAACTAAGATTGTTTCTTGTTTTGTTGTATTATGGGACATTCAGAAGCAACTGGTGAGCATGGTAGAGAAAGCTTCAATTGAAGATGTAATGAAAGTTCTAATTGCATCAAGAAAGCAAGACATGCACCAACTATGGACTACTTGTTCCCATTTGGTCGCAAAATCAGGCCTTCCAACAGAAGTTCTAGCAAAACACATTCCCCTCGACGTCGTTGCCAAAATCGAGGAGCTTCGACTCAAATCCTCCCTCGCTCGTCGATCATCATTGATGCCTCACCACCACCTCCATCTCAGCGCGGCAGCCGACATGGAGGAGCAAAAGATTCGTCGAATGCGAAGAGCATTAGACTCCTCCAACGTCGAACTCGTCAAGCTAATGGTCATGGGAGAAGCCCTAAATCTCGACGAGGCATTGGCATTGCATTATGCCGTCGAGAATTGCACCCGAGAAGTCGTTAAAGCTTTACTCGAGCTTGGAGCTGCCGACGTCAACTACCCGGCCGGGCCAGCTGGGAAAACCCCATTGCACATTGCATCGGAGATGGTGTCGGCAGAGATGGTGGCGGTGCTCCTCGACCACCATGCCGATCCAACCATCCGAACAGTCGACGGGGTGACACCACTCGACATACTAAGAACCCTAACTTCAGATTTCCTGTTCAAAGGGGCAGTGCCAGGGATGACACACATAGAACCAAACAAGCTGAGGCTTTGTTTGGAGCTGGTTCAATCAGCAGCGCTGGTGATATCAAGAGAACAAGGGAATAATGCAAATAACGCATCATCCACAGCTCCAATGTTTCCACAAATGAGTGAAGATCATAGCAGCAGCAGCAATGGAAGCAATTTGAACCTTGACACGAGGTTGGTTTATCTTAACCTTGGAGCTAACCATGGTTCAGCTCAAATGGGAGGAGAAGGAGGAGATGATCATAGACATGGAGGAACTGACCCAACAATGTTCCACCATTCCCATGATTACTAAACTTTACCTCAAATTTTTATTATATATCTTTCTTTCTGTTAATTACCAAAATATTTATCTATAATATGTCTCCCATCTCATGCATTTCTATATAGTGAGAAAGAGAGGATATATTATTCAAATGGTGGAAATCGTTCGTTTTTTTTTATCGTTTGAAATGTTAATTATTTGATGTAACGGTTCAAGTCTACCACTAGTAGATATTGTTTCTTTGGACTTCTCCTTAAGGTTTTTAAAATGGGTCGTAGGGAGGTTTCTACATCTGCATAAAGAATGTTTCGTTCTCCTTTTCAACTGAGAGATTTCACATTTGAGTTGCTGAATTGGCTCAAGTTGGATTGAGACATTTTTTAGACTCAATCCAATTGTTCGAGTTGTAAATTTTTCAACCCCAACCACACTTGTTAAATAATGGACCAGATCTCACATTTGAGTTGGTGGATTGAGTCCATTGACTAACTCCAAACCCAATCATATATTTTTTGGGTAGAGTTGAGTTGAATAGCTCGAATCATTTATTTAAACTTAATAAAAATGATGTTAGTTCTTGAAATATCTATTTACTTATTATTTTCTAAATAATTAATTAAAATTTTGAAAAATTACTTTCTAAATAATTAAAAATGATTTTAAGAATGATTAGGAGAATAAATAATAAAAAAAAATATGAAATTAAATAAAAATAAAGTAGACTGTTATTGGAAGAATATATTATTTATGGAATATATTGTGGCTGCTTGAATCCTATTTAAAGTTTATGAATATGAATGAGAACATACTTCCCAATTCTATTTCTATTTCTCATTCTTTAACATAGACTTATGCAAATTTTGATTATTCAACTCAATCTAATTTTACTGGAATAAATGAATCAACCCAATTTGAACCGAATCTAACTCAAATAAGTTTATAATCCAACTCAAAATCGGTTTCTTTTAAACAACGCTATCAATTTGATAAATTTTTTGTAATACAAATGAGAATGTGGGTGTTAATTATGATACTATTAATTTTACTTTTTAAAAATTAAGCATACCCAAAAAAAGTTTTTAAAAAATTGGATAAAAATTAAATATTTTTGTAAGAACGGTGATAACCATAGTAAGAAATTAAAGAAAAATGGATGAAATAATTATCAAATAGTTTATAGATATTTAATTAATTGTGAAAATATGAATTAAAATAGCTATTGAGAATTACTAAGTATCAATATATAGTTTTTTTTTTGAGTTAAATATTTAAATGATTGATAATATTGTTTGGATGAAAGTCACACCGCTAATTTAGAAAATGATCCTGAGTTTATATATCAAGTCATGAGAGCTTATATTCAAAGTGGATAATATCATACTATTGTAAAATTTAACCTCAAATGGCTATGGGTCGGGATAGAGAAACCTTTTATCTCTTTATCCTCGCCATCACACTCACACGTAGAATTCTTTTAAAAAATGAGTTATTTTAAAGTTTTCATTTTTTAAATAACTTTTATTAAAAAATTGTATAAGAAAATGCTAGTAAAGTCGGGAACGAATTTATCTATATTCACGTTCGCTATTAAATTATTTTAAAATTTGTAATTATTAGGACCTAACTTCTAAGTCTTTTTAAATAGTTGTAATTGATTCTGGACATTATTGTTTCCTGATTGCTACAATAATTCCTTATACCTCTCCAAAAAATTGTATAGAGCTAGAACAAGATCAAAAGTGGATACTTTTATGGGTGTGGTGTTCCTGCCATTGATAGAGATTGAAGAATGAACTGAGAGAGGACGTAAGACGTCAGCTCAGTTAGGAATCACGACCTTCACAATGGTATGATATGATATTATCCACTTTGAACATAAACTTTCGTGGCTTTTCTTTTGATTTCATCAAAAGGTTTCATACCAATAGAGATAATGTTTCTTACTTATAAATTCATTATAAATTCATGATGTGAGACCACTCTCAACAATCCTTAACCAGCTCTGTCGACCCAGTTTCTTCCGAAGCTATGCATTAGGCCAAGAACCTCAGTGCCCGAAACTATTTCGGTCAACCATTTGACCCTACAACATTTAGTTGCTTGCATGATATTAATACCTAGGTAGGTATGGCAATCCAGGGTAGTTTATTTAGAGAGTTTAGTTGCCAAACAGAGAGATGACACCTAAACGTGGTTTTCACTTCTACCATTTAACAAATTTCTGTCAAAATTTGCATATAGCATAGATATAGCAACGGACACAAACACAAAACATGGAAGATCAGTATCGGGGAAAGGAGCATTCAAGGGGATGTTAGCCGATATTGTGCTCTTTAAGCTTTTCCTGAAGGTTTTTAAAACACGTTTGCTAGAGTGAGGTTTTCACACCCTTATAAAGAACGCTTCGTTCTCCCCCCAACCGATGTGAGATCTCACAATCCACTCCCATTCGGGGCTTAGCATCCTTGCTGACACACCGCCTCGTGTACACCTCCATTCGAGACTCAGCCTCCTCGCTTGCACATTGCCTAGTGTCTGACTCGAATACCATTTATAACAGCCCAAGGTCACCACTAGCATCCTCAACCAATGTGGAACCTCACACAGCCCCTTTCCCTATTCTATCCTATTAAGATATACCAATAGATCATAAATCTGATCGGTCTTGCAGTGTGATCTATCTCCTGAAACAAACCCATGAATGGTTCCATTTAACTCAATGAAGCTCCAACCTGGTTTCTTGACAAGATTCTTCTCATACACAACACTACGTAGTTTTTCAACTTCATGCCACTGCCCAACACTAGCCTGTGTATTGCTCAACAGAGTATAATAGCCTACATTATCAGGTTCTAATTCAAGAAGCCTGTGTGCAGCATAGATAGCGATTTTATTGTCTCCATACACCCGGCAGGCACCCATAAGAGCACCCCAAATCCTACCATCACAGAGATTTGTCATTCTCAATATAATAGCAAAGGCCTCTCTTACTCTTGTTGATCTACTCAAAAGATCAACAAAACAAGTGTAATGCTCTAAATCAGGCTTAATATTGAACCTTGACCTCATTGAATAAAAGATTTCACAGCCCTCACTTACAAGGCCAGAGTGGCTACAAGCAGATAGCAGACTCAAGAACGTGACACTGTTTGGGGCCACTTCTTCACTCATCATATGGTGATATAGATTGAGGGCATTGATACCTTGTCCGTGAGCGCCATATCCCTCAATCATGGACGTCCACGCCACAACATCTTTAACTATGATCAAATCAAAACATTTTCTAGCAGAAGCAATGCTTCCACATCTTACATACATGTTCATAAGAGACGTTTCTAAGTGGGTATTACAAATCTCCAATCCATGGATTCGGATGAGGTAACAATGTATGCCTCTTCCCAGCTGCAGAGCACCCAAATGGGCGTAAGCATCAATTAAGTGTTTCAAAATTCCAAGGCTGGGTTTCAAGCCAGCAGCTTGCATTTGGCTGAAGATGTCTACTGCCTCATCAAAGTGTCCATTTTGAATAAAACTAGACATCATGGCCCCCCAAGTAATGATGCTCCTATTAGGAATTTCGTTAAACAGCCTAGTTGAATTGTCCAACTCCCCAATCTTGGCATACATATCCAACAATGAAGTCCGCAGAATGCTATCATAGAGACCAGTTTTAATTGCCAGAGAGTGCAGATTTTCACCTAGGATCAGACACATGGATTCAGATGTCTTTGTTGCTGATATAAGTATGGTTAATGTGTCAATGATGAGTGGAACTTCACCACTCATGATTTGTTTGAAGATATCAACAGCTTTCACAATATCTCCCACGGAGAAGTAAAAAGATATCAAAATATTCCAAGAAACAACATTCTTGCAATCAATTTCAGAGAAAACACGTACAAATTCATCTTCCCCACCTAGTCGACTATACATTCGTAAGAACCAATTCTGCAGACCTACATCAAACAATAAACCATTCTTAACCACAAGACATTGAATCAGCCTTCCCAGAACCAAATCCTCAGTAACACAACAAGCTTGCAGCATTGCCATCATGGTCACCGAATTCGGCTCCAACACCCTCCTCATTCCCTCAAAAAGATTCAAAGCACAAACAATAACACCGCTATTAACATATGCAGAAATCATGGACGTCCAAGAGACCAAGTCTCTATTAGGCATTTCATCAAACACTTTGCGTGCATGACCCAAACACTCACATTTCGCATAAACCTCCATCATGGTATTACAGAAATACAAATCAGAACCAAACCCCATTCGAATTCCAACACAATGAACCATTCCCGCATAGACTACATCAACGCAAATCGACATAACGACATGGTTAAGAATCGGAAACGTGAACCCATCATGCTCAACTCCCACCTCCCTCATGTTTTTATACAACATAATGGCAGATTGGAACAAACCTGAGTCAAATTGGGACTTGATGATGGAATTCCAAAGCATGGGTTCGGTGTGCGGGAAGGCGTTGAGAACAGAGACTGCACTGGGAAGGTCGTTGAACTTGGCGTACAAACGAATGAGCTTGGAGGCAATGAAAACCGTGTCGAACCCAGATGAGAGAATGAAATAGGCATGGATTTGCTTCAGAAGACGTAGATCCTGGCATGATTGTAAGAGAAGAGAAGGGGTTTGTATAAGAAAGGGTTGTGGAGAGAAGTGAAAGGTTTTCAGGTAATGGGGAGAGAGTAACGAAGGGAGTTTGAGAGAATTGGAGGAGAAGAGAAAGCGTGGGAGGCCATGGAAATGGAAGGGAATGGCGTGTGATGAAAAATGACGAGAACAGAGCAAAACCAGAGAATAGAGACGCCTATCTTTGATTTCTTTGCATAAAAAACTGCAGACCATATGTCTTGCACTATTTGTAGTATCAAGGATAGTAACTCCCATGTAAGTGACTTTGCTGGATGAATGAAGTATGAAAGAACCGTGCCCTCTAGCCCCTACATGAGTCATGTTTTGTGAATGTTTGACATGTAATATATCATGATACAAATTATGCTATGTTATAATTTATACAATGGGATGATTATGCTATGTATTGGATCTTGGTGTGAACTTAATGTTGTATAATGCATGAAACTTTCTATATGTATTAGGATACTTCTCCGTTATGATTAGTACTACCACAAAAACTCCGATATAATATACCCTTCGATATTATGTGTGCTCCTTTTCCTTTGTAGCTTTTTTGGTAGCGTGAATGTATGCTAGCTTAATGTTATATCCAAGGGGTACGTATACAAAGCCCATCTAAGAGTGCGAGCCGTGTGTAGAGAAGTATTGCACAACCAATTTGGCTCGGACTGAAAAATGGAGACCAAGATCATGATGTTTTATAAAATGATAGATCCTATCATGATTGCATGTGATTTCTTGACCCTAATAGTGGAGCTACTTACTAAGTTACATGCTACTTCCTTTAGGTAAAGGTAAGATACCCTTGTACTGATAACACTGTTGTGAAGGTCATGAACTAAAGCGAGGGTAGTTGCATTTATGTTTAAACTCTAATTTTTTCTATTTAATGGAAAGCCATTACTATATTTTTAACCCTACATTTAAATATCCTCATTTATTGCCTCATGAATAAATAAATACAAAAGAAAGAAAAAAGGAAAACAATTCTGAATTAAATATCCTCTACTAACCTATAGTTTATTAATGCAATTACAATTCAAATTTGTACTAACCTATACTAGTAATACAAATGCAATTTAACATATACTAACTTATACTATTAATGAAATTGCAATTCAACCTATATTAACCTATACTATTAAATTAGAAAGAAAATCTATCCTATGCATCTGCCATGGTCACGAATTTGCGATGCTTCTGTCGGTCTCATATGAGTGTCTTGCCTTTATTTGAAAATGTAGTAGCATGAGGCTTGAGTATTTTAAGAATACTCAGTAAATGACCCCTTATTAGGGTTATGAAGCAAACACATTCAAATGAGATGACGAGATCTATCCTTCAATCGTTCTACGGTACTATCCTAACGGGTAACTTGGATGTATACCATATACTCTACACACAGCCCATACATGCAAGTATGGACTCACCAGTCAGTTAGCACACCACTGGGCCACTTTCTTTGTCAAGCGAGCATAATCTAGAAGCTCCTTAAGCCGGACACTATTAGAACTAGTATCCGTCACGACAACATTATGTAAAACATAACGATCGTTCTCCTGCCATTGGCTGTACGCGTTCGTACCCTCGTGGTGGAATAGGGGTATCCCCCCAATGCATGAGCACACATAATGCATGAGGTCCCCAATATTTCTACTTTTATCATTGGCAAATATAATCCCACTATCCTTTTTCATTCATATCATATTACTTCTCATTTTTCAGTCCTCCTATCATGTATAATTGTAACGACCAGAAATTTCTATTTAATTTAAGGTCGCTACTATAAACGTACCATAAACATTGAATGCGGAAGACTTCCTTTAAATTCCATAAAACATAACTTTTATCTTAAAACATAGCCATGGACTTACGTGTTTCAAAAACATCTTTAAAACGACACAACAAAAGACTAAATAAAATGAATAAGAGTTTAAGTTAAAAACATCCTAATTTAGCCTAAGTCTAAGAAAATAAATACCATTACCCTATGCATGTGTCATGGTCTCGAGTTGCGATGCCGTCGTTAGCCATACAAGAATGCCTTGCCTTAACCTGAAAAATGTAGTAGCACATGACTTGAGTATTTAAAGAAATACTCAGTAAGTGACCCCACTGTTGGTGTTAAATGCAACAATCACATGCAATGAAATGATGGGATCTATCTTTCGTTTCGTTTTCCCTACGGTGCTGTCCTAATGGGTAATTTTGGACGTGTACCATATACTCTACACACAGCCCATACGTGCGAGTATGGGCTCACCAGCTAGTTTGCACACCGCTGGGCCACTTTCCTTATCCGGTGGGCATACTCTGGGAGCCCCTTATGCCGGAACCTAGTAGAACTAGTAACCGTCACGGCAGCGCTATGCAAAGCATAACGATCGTTGTCCTGCTATTGGATGTACGCGTCCGTACCCTCGTAATGGGATAGGGGTATCCCCTCAAATGCATGAGCACACATAATGCATGAGGTCCCAAAACTTTTCCATTTTCATTATTCTTTAATACAACCCCGCTAGCATTATGTACATATCATATCATTTTTCATATCGTTTCAGATATCGTCCATCATTCATATCATATCGTTTCTCATTCTTCAGTTCTTAAATCATACAAAATTCTAACGAGGTTATATTTCATGCTATTTATCATAAGTTCATGTCGTATACACACAATTTAAGAGATCTAACATAACATTCTATGCTTTTAACATAACATTTCATCATATACACATCATACCATGACATATTGCATCCCAATGTTGATGGTGTTAATATAACACATGCGGAAGCAATTTGGATTTTAGACACTTTTACAACATCAATTATAGTAAATAACTAGCATGTTCATAAGTAGTTCAAATTCTTTTTTCCTCACGAACCGGTTTCGAACCACCACTAGTGTCTTCTCCACTATCCTCCGGCCTTAGAACAGGATTGTGGAATCAGGTGAGCGACTTAAACTTGGGAGAGATTTTGTATATATGAAGAGAGTGTTTGTGAGAGGTTTTTCTTAAGGTTTTTCACCAAGAAGAAACCCTTTCATGTATTATGATCACTCTATTTATAGAGTCATGTTTGCATGTTTGCATGTTCATGCAAATTTGAGATCACAAAATTTTGACACTCAAAATTCTATTCAAATGTTTGGGATTATGTGGCAAGCATGCATGCTTGAGTTAACCAAATTTTGACACTCAAAATTCCACTCAAATTTGTGGGGTTTATTTGGCAAGCATGCAAGTTTGGTTAAACCAAATTTTGACACCTCAAAATTCAACTAACATGGATTTTTCCATTAAATGAAGTCAACCTTTTGACTTTCTTCATTTTGATTCAACAATCAATTTAAATTATTAATTTCAAATTAAAGTAATATTAAATGATTAATTAAACTATTTAATTAATATTTAATATTAATTCAAATGTCAATCTCAATTAATTCCGACACATATTTGATTAAGATATTTAAATCTTATTTAAATATCTCAGATTCTCTCTTTGTTTAATTCGTAAATAAAACAAAAATGCGGTTAAATATATCGTATATATGTAGCGCATTCTCCCTAATTTGAATTCGAACACTTCGAACTCACTCGTCACACTGTTTTATGGTTTAGTTCGATATGAGCTAGCAGAGGGACCTAATGGATCTATAGATCATGGGCTCCAATGATCCAAGATTAACCGGTTAAACTCATTAACCTTGTTAACCAACATTCGTTAACTACTAGGACATTCCACTATAGCCTAGTAGTTGCACTCCCCTCACTATAGATATATTTCTGTCCATTTGATATAACCATGATTAGTAAGTCGATCCTTCACAGGTTGTTCGTAACTAGAGCTGGGTTAATTTACCGTTTTACCCCTGAAGTTACTTCTTGTTAAGAATCAAAATCCGAAAAGTCTTCTTTGTAGTTATAATGCCCAAATATCAAGTCGGCTCATTCGTATTTCACTAATCCTCTAATGAACAATTGGTTTGTGGTCCAACCAGTAAACCGAATCTCTCTCAGGCCAATGAGAGGGTGGGGCCCCTTGTTCAAGACCTGGCGTCAATACTTAAGAGAACTACCTCTTTTCTATCCCTAAAAGTGGGTAGGAGTGAATTCCATCTTGCACCCCACGTCCCCAGCCATTTACCCAGTCTTACCCCTGAAATGGGAGGCCTATTGAGTCGGCGAGCATGAGCCACTCTCACCCATGCAAATCTAAGGATAATTCCTAATAAATAGGAGTTCATGGTTAGCTCAGGATGAAGATCGAGTTATCTAGGTCATTGAATAAAAAGAAAATCAGTCTCAACAGTAAACGACATCATAAAGTGAGAGTGATTTTCTTCATGGTCTGATCTTATGCAATACTCATTGCATAGGACGCCCCCACTCACATGTCTCCACATGTACAATTTTAGTGATAACATTGTTTATATCATATACAAAAGTGGGCCGCATCCATAGTGTCCCCAGAATAAGGTACTCATTCTTATCCTTATACTATAAATCATTTTGACTATATACTTGAACTTGATCAACTCTTATGTCTCTACATATAGTTCAAGTAATCATACTATAGCCAGAGTGTTCTTAGTTTATTAGATTTAGATTAATGATCCTAAAGTTCACTTTATTCAATAACAATCTTTACTGAATAAACAATAATAATAACTTTATTGAAAATAGAATATGTTTTTGTTTACAAACTATGAGTTTTAGGACATAAAACCCAACAAACTCCCACTTGGACTAAAACTCTAGTGGGGTTTTATAACGTTGAGTAGAGAGAAAGACATAAATACAATAAGCTAGGGCATCACATACTCATGCCTTTTCTCCCACTTGCCCTAGATTACATAACTCGTAGTCCTAGACTCACTAGGTGCCCTTCAAACACTTTAGCCGTGAGGGGCTTTGTAAATGGATCAGCAATGTTGTGCTCTGATGCTATCTGTGTGACGATCACATCTCCTCGTTGCACAATCTCCCTTATGAAATGATATTTGCGCTCAATATGTTTTCCTCGCTTATGGCTTCTTGGTTCTTTTGAATTTGCAACTGCTCCACTGTTATCACAATAAAGAGTGACAGGAATATGCATATTTGGAACGACTTCCAAATCAGTTAAGAACTTCCTAAGCCATACAGATTCTTTCGCTGCTTCATAAGTAGCAATATACTCAGCCTCCATGGTGGAATCAGCA